AAATTTTCTTAAAACTTAGAAATAGGCAAAAGAGATTATTCGCTATTCTACCAAAGGAGAGATGTGTGTTCTCTTGCCAATCATCCAATTATTGTCTAGTTCCATGGTGCTGTATTACCTTGTATTGCTTTTATTAACTAGGTTATTTTACAACTTTATAGGATCAGAAGTTAAAATTATTTTAAAAATGATGGCAGTGCAAACAATTTGTGTCCATAGTGGTGAAAAAGTATGTTTTACCATAAAGAACATAAATATTTTTAGTCAAATTCTCAAGTGAAGAGTGTTACTGGCTCTCTCATTAATTAATGAATTGAAAAAAATAATTGACAAGTGTTCATTTTGTATTTGAGAGTTGTAATTTGACATTTTACAAGTTATAATTGCACAAATGGGACTAGGCTCACCATCAGTTCTATTCCTGTATATTTTTATAGATGTAATAACTTGGAAAACTCATTCACATTAGAGATTTGTTAAAGCAATATTTTTCTCTGTTTTAACTGCGTTTGAGTTGTCAAAAATAACATAGTAATCTATTACTATGTTAACCAATTGTCATAGTCATACAATTAATAAAGCCCATTTATTATTAAATTATCATTAGAGGTTGACTATCCAATAATATGGATTCTCTGATACTGCTAAAAGCAAAGATTAAGAAACTACTAGACTTGCAAAATGTTTGTCATTCAGTAATTTGGACATCTCAGAGATTTTGTACCTAGAGGAAAAATATACGCTATTCTTTCTTTTGCCTTGCCTTGATTTCTAAGGCATATAAATCCAGGAAATGGTACTGATAGAATAAGAGAACTGGAAAATTATTTCCCTTCTTCTAATAAAGAAAAATCATTCAGAAATTTAGTTTTTGGTATGTGTCCAAGTTTTTTCAATCTTACATTCAATGGATAAGGGCCATAGAAAAACAATTAAAATATATACAATTAATAGGTGATAATAAAATAACATCAATTAATAAATAATAATAATATAATGTTAATAGGGCATTCCACAAGGCAAGAGAAGATTAATCATGTGTTTAATCATGATTAGATTAAACACAAGAAATAATGATTAAAGAACTGATAATTGAGACTCAATAAGGTGAGTGGGTAACTCTTTGACAGAGCATGTCTTAATTCCAAGAAAAGTTCTCAGAAAATATTTAAAGATTTTATCAGGAATGCTAATTTCTTCTAAGGATAAAATTGGGGAAAATACTTTGGTCTATTCAAGTCTGGGACTTTTTTTTTTGTTTTTTACTTTCAGACACTTCTTAATAATTGTACTATGGTTTTGAGTGATGTTAACATTAGGAGAAGCAGAGTCAGATATAAGATAAATCTCTGTACTATTTTTTGCAATTCTCCATAAGTCTAAAATTGGCTCAAATTAAAAAGTTTTAAATGAGGTGTTTGTGTACATTCAAGTTTATAGACAGTGACTACCACATGCAAAGCAAAGAAACAGTGAGAAATAAATGAACATATAATTTCCATATAATTTCTCACATGTAGTGAGTGCACAATAAATGTAAACAAATATATTACTAAAATTGGGTATATATAATTGTTACACAGTTTTGTCATGTATCACAATATTTTTTGCTTAATTTTAACTCTTGTTATTTTGTATTTTGACTTTTAATATAGAAAGTGTGAAATTTCCTTTTATGTTTTAGAATTGGTTAATTTGAGAGCAAATATTTTATCATAACACATCTCATGATTAAACAAAATTCTGCCTTATTAAAACATTCCTAGAGTGGCCATGGATATATCAAACATACCTAAAGTATAGATATTTTTCATACTGATTCTTCTTTCATAGTTATGCTTTTTAAAACTTTATTTCAATGTAACTATGCTTTCAGAAATACACTCATATTGGTTAATAGAATATAATTTAACTTATCTTACAAAATTTGGACCAAAAACTTGGTACATGGTTTAAGATTTTTAAAAAGGATTTGCAGTCTGGTTTATTTTTATCTATTACAAATGTGTAAGAGATCCTCCATCAAATGCTGCTAAAGAAGGCAGCAAGAACCTTGAGAAATTTATCTTTGGTTTGCCTCCGAAAAATAACAAGTAATCCACTGCGTAAGTTTATAAAATTGGTGCAACAAAAAATTGTTGTACTGTTTCACTGCCAGTTTAGAAAATTCAATAACTAATGGATATGGAATGGACTGGGAGAGAACCTATATACACATGTGAAACTGTAAAAGCTATCTGATTTAGTTAATATTGCATGTAGATTCTAAATCTACACAAACCAAGATTCCGATAATTTCTTCAATCCGAATTAACACTATCTGTTCACTTCATCTGCTGAGGTCAATCAGGAAACTGGAATCATTAATGGTAAGTTTTTCTGACTTATGCATAAAAGAAAATTAAGTTTCTTCCTCAGATTTTCAGTCCAGAAGTGACAGTATACTACAGGCAAGGTATTCCCTCCATTGTCAGCATTCATAGGGTGATATGCAATGAGGTCTGCTTGGGTTTCAACTTGTATCAGCACTCATATGCAAAACAGTCTCCAAAGTTAATAACCACATGACTTTAGAAGTGACTAAAAAATAAAATGGCCCTTCTTAGAAGACTAGAGCAAAACATCCAGCCATGGTTACAAGACTTATTTAAAAAAAAAAAAAAAAAAAAAATGCTGCTCCTTGTGAATTACACAATTTAAAAAAGTAGCCCCAAAATAAGAAGTAGCTCTGAAGGGAAGAGGAAAAAATATAACTTAAAATATCTTGAAAACCAATGTGAATATAGGTTCAAAAGATAGTTAAGAGATTCATTTTCATAAGACTACCTAAGATTAAGGCTAATTATGTATTCTTGTATTTCAAGCTTATCACTAGTTACTAAACATCAATTTACAAATAACATTTTCCTTTTCTGTTTTTTATCAAAAGAGAAAATTCTAGCTTAAATTCTATCCAGTGTGGGGGAGGAGGACTAGAAAATAGAAAAGATTCAAACAGTTCCTTGCAAACATCACATTTTTTCAAATGGAAGAACTTCCAACTGGACCAGAAGTTCATTCTCTAAGGTACTTTTCATTGAAACAATTATTAATAAGTACAAATAGGTGACATTAAGGGTCAGAACCTAATATAGGCCTGACAATCAAGTCCTTTTCGAATTTATTCAACAAAAGAATTGTGAGGACAAAAAACAAGTACTCAACATCCAAAGTTTTAAACACAAGCTCTTTCTTAGAAACAAAATCATTCACAACAGGACATGTTCCTAGTGGTATTTTGTGATCAATCCTAAAAAAATTTTATTTATAGCTCATGATATTTAGTGAGGAAGTATTTTTATTATATATATAGCATTTTTACTTAAGTCCATCATTTATTTATTTATCTATTTATTTATTTATTTATGAGATGGAGTCTCGCTCTGTCACCAGGCTGGAGTGCAATGGTGATCTTGGCTCACTGCAGCCTCCTCCCAGGTTCAAGCAATTCTCCTGCCTCAGCCTCCCAAATAGCTGGGATTACAGGTGCATGCCACCACGCCTGGCTAATATTTGTATTTTTAGTAGAGACGGGGTTTCACCATGTTGGTCAGATATTGAACTCCTGACCTCGTGATCTGCTCACCTCAGCCTCCCAAAGTGCTGGGATTACAGGAATGAGCCACCGTGCCCAGCCAATTCCATCTTTTAATCAAAACAAATTTGAAGAAGTGATTTTAATAGACCCTAATATTCCTTGGAAGTGATGAGTTACTAACATGTAGAAATAAACGAAGTTTGTTTTCTTGATGACTGATTCTATAAGGAAATGATTTGTAATTAATAAATGTTTGCTATAGTGAACTGAATTTTATCTAGATGATGTCCCAATATTGCTTTCTCATAATTAATTTTACCCACAACAATTAGTCCTTCCCATTCCTCGTCTCAGTTCTGTAGCCTCCAGACACTTCATTTATTCCATGACTTAGCATTTTTTGCTTGTTTAGCTATTCTGTAAAAGCATTTCTATTCTTGACCATGCATATCTCCATTCTTTGCCAAGCATGTTTTCAGTGAGTCATATTCTAGCTGAATTTTGTCCCTTTGTTAATGCTTTCTATATTCTGCAAGTCTGCTTTGTTTTACAAATCAAAGTTTACTGTTTCAATTCTTTTTTTATTTCTTATATTCATCAAATTATTCTGAAGCAAAATTTAACCTATTTCTTTATAACTCATAATTTTTTTTATTTGTATATGAACAGACAAATAATTTATTTTTCTAAATATTCGTAAATTCCCTGTGGGAGTTTTATAGGCTGAGATTTTTTTCTGCATTATTTTTTTCTTTATTTTACAAAATAGATGATTTTATGGAAATTCATAAATTTAATTTTGATTTTGCTGTTTGTTTGCAGTTATATTGTTATTAGAAATTAGGTATATTAATATGCTATGCATCAGGTTCAGTACTAAGTAATCTAAATGGATTATTTTATTACATTAAAAGAACTGTATAAAAATTTATGTCATTACACTCACCTTTCAATTGATGAAACTGAGGAACAGATATTCTAAGTAAATTTCCCAGGCTGGTTTTGTAGCTAACAAATGAAAGACTTTAAATTAAGATCCTGCAACCACACATCTTGTATTCTGTAAATATTGATTCGTGCAGTTTATCTTACTGTTTATTAATAACTGACAGCAGGCCCATTTTGTTCAAGGACTAATGATGCTTTTTGTCAGTACACTTAAAAGAGATTTCTTTATTTTGGAAAGCAGATGTGCCAAAGGCTGATAATGTTCAATCTGAAGCCTTCAAGGCCAATGTCTCATATCTGTGGTCTGGGGAAAAGTATGAAGTTGTAATAAACTAAACACCCCTTTGGAGTTTGAATAGTGGATTCAAATATATGTATCACAGCTATGTGTAACCTTGCCTGTTTTGTCCTCCAGTCCTACCATCGTTGGATATCCAAACCTAAGTGGCATGAGAGAAGGATACAAAGGGAAAAATTATAATCATCCCAATGTCTTTATTTTCCTGACCATCACACAGCCACCTAATAGATGCTTCCAGAGAATGTGGTAAGAGATGAGGACTTTGTCAGTTTTGTCCCTAGAGTGCAGTCAATGTCCTCCTTCCAATCCAGAGATTCACAGGTACTACAGGTAGTATGGCTGTTTCTCAATCCTGCTTCAAGTGTGCATTTGTAGAATTATAACAGATATCTTTATTTGAAAAAAGGACTTCCACAGTTCGTTTATCTGTTTGTCACATAACTTGTTTGACGCTTTCATGGCTATTTTAATGAGAAATAGAGAAAGGCAATCACTAACAGAAAAGCTTGGTTAACAGCTTTTGGAAGTACTGGCTTGTGTTCATTGATGCAAATATCATATTTGGACATCAAAGAAATCTTTGAAGCCAGCTTTTTCTCACCCAGATATTAATTCAAAAAATTTTTATTTTTCCTTCATATTTTTAGACCCTTTGCTTTCAGATTTATATATTCAATTACTCTATACAAGCACATACATATCTAAAACATTAAGAGATATACAAGATATATTATTCTGATATTTTGAATGAGAAAGGGTTGTATACACACACTTTCTAAAATAATTTAATAGAAAAATTACATCAACTTTAGCAACATAATTAGATGAAAAGGAGCATGTTTCTTTTATAATTATCTTAAAATTTGTAAAGAAATGACTTAATTTAACTTGAAATTTATTCACAGACATAATCAGCTGTCTTGACAATGTTTGGAATTCAAAACCCTATGCCCGTTAAGTAGTTATTCTCCCTATTCTCAAAAGTGTATTATGTAGGCCGGACATGGTGGCTCATGCCTGTAATTCCAGCACTTTGGGAGGCCGAGGCAGGTGGATCACGAGGTCAGGAGATCGAGACCATCCTGGCTAACACAGTGAAACCCCGTCTCTACTAAAAATACAAAAAATTAGCTGGGCGTGGTGGCAGGTGCCTGTACTCCCAGCTACTCCGGAGGCTGAGGCAGGAGAATGGCGTGAGCCCGGGAGGCGGAGCTTGCAGTAAGCCGAGATCACGCCACTACCTTCCAACCTAGGTGACAGAGAAAGACTCCGTGTCAAAAAAAAAAAAAAAAGTGTATTACGTATTTCTAATTATACACACACACGACTATATGTGTGTGTATGTATGTATATGTGTGTGTGTATATATGTGTGTGTATATATGTGTGTGTGTGTATATATGTGTGTGTGTATATATATATATAAAGCAACCTTGTTTTCAGATTGTTCTTATGGTTGTTTTCCTAGAGCTGTTTAGCATTCCCTTCTACTATGCCTCAGTTCATTTTGTTACTCTACTTTTAAATGTCTCCAGAGATTCCTCATTTAAAAAAAAAAAAAAAATCTCTGCCCTGCTTTTTACAGAAAGCCTCTTGGGATTTCTAATTGTTGCTATCCCAGCCATCTGTCCAGGTTTCTTCTCCCAACATCTCCTTTTTTCCTTTGCCTGGGACCCACATGCTTAGCTCCTTTCAGTTGCCTCACCACCACCCATTTTCTACTCCTCGGTGTTTCCCTTCATCCCAGGCTCCTAGCTCTTGCCTCTGCTGTTCCAAGCCAGCAGCATCCTCTGTTTTCATGCCCCTATTGATGTTTTTTTTTCATAAAATGCTTTCCTATTTTATTTTGTCTATTTTACTTTTATAGATTCAATTAAAATCTATCTTTTGCATAAAACCTTGCCAAAGAACACAAATGCTGATTTTCCTCCAGATTCCTAAACTCCTTATAGTCAATACAAAATTGTAAAGTACTTACCTATTTATCCTTCGATACTATTTATGCTGAAATTTCAAAATTTCAGTTGTTCAAACTACAGTTTTTCTCCCACAACCGTTTTTCACAATGGTAGATGAGTTGTATTATGAGATCTCTTACTAGAAAGAGTTATGAGAAAAAATATTTGACCACACTACTGGACTCCATCTTGGTTTGATTCACTGTGCCAATTTGATTTAGCAACCCTAAAGTGTACAGAAAGAGAAATAACTCCTTAAATTAGTTCATTGATCAGCAATCAGTCAACATAGTACTCCCAGGCAGCCAACCAATCTTCAGTTATCAAAGACAGACTTGACTAACAGAACAATCACTTTTTCTGATAAAATATGTTGCACTTTCCCTTAATAAGACACCCCTTTGCCTCTGTTCGAAGTTAATGGTCTTCACAGAGAGTGCTCTTCCTTACTATGTATATGAGTTAATAAAATACACTTTTTAAAAAGTAAAAGTACCATTCTAATACAGCTATAAAATTAATGCATGTCAAAGATTGTATACATACTTATTGAGGGAACTGGTTTGGGTTCAAATAAAAATTTGACATATACAATATATGTTTGCACACCTTGGAGATATTGCAGGTTGCATTCCAGACCACCACAATAAAGTGAATAAAGCAATAAGGTGATTGCTTCATTTACTAAAACCAATTTTTTTTTTAGTTTTCCAAGGCATATAAAATTTATGTTTACAATATACTCTAGTCTATTAAGTGTGCAGTAGCATTATGTCTAAAAATATGTACATAACTAAACTAAAAAGTATTTTGTTGCTAAAAAAAAAGAACTAATGATCATCTGAGCCTTCAGAGAGTTGTAATCTTTTTACCGGAGAAGGATCTTTCCTCGATGACTACAAACTGATTAGGGCGGTGGTTGCTGAAGGTTGGGGTGGCTGTGGCAATTTTTTTAAAATTTGACAACAATGAAGTTTTGCTCCATCAATTGACTCTTCCTTTCATGAAAAATTTCTTTGTAGGATGCGATGTTCTTCAATAACATTTCACCCACAGTAGAACTTCTTTCAAAATGGGAGTCAGTCCTCTCAAATTCTGCCACTGCTTTATCAACAAAATTGATTAAATATTCTAAATGTATTGTTGTCATTCCGACAACATTGACAACAACTTCACCAGGTTGTGAATGTTATTGAATGACAACAACAGATTTGGAATATTTAATAAATATATTGTGTCTCAAGAAACCACTTTCATTCTTTATCCATTTAAAAAAACCTCCTCATCAGTTAAAATTTTGTCAGATTGTAGCAATTTAGTCACATCTTTGGGCTCATCTTCTAATTCTATTCCCTTGCTCTTTCTGTCACATCTGTGGTTATTTCCTCCACTGAAGTCTTAAATCCCTAAAATATTACCCGTGAGGTTTGGAATCAATTTCTTCCAAACTCTCGTTAATGTTGATATTTTGACCTTGTCCCATGAATCACAAATGTTCTTAATGGCATCTAGAATAATAAATCCTTTCCAGAAAGTTTTTAATGTACTTTTGCCCAGATTTATTAAAGGTATCACTATTTATTGCAGCAATAGCTGTATGAAATGTATTTCATAGATAATAAGACTTGAAAGTCAAAATTATTCCTTGATCCATGGGCTAAAGAATGGATATTTTGTTAGCAGGCATGAAAACAACATTAATCTCTTTGTACATCTCCACTGGAGTTCTTGGGTAACCAGGTGCATTGTCAATGAGCAGTAATATTTTCAAAGAAATCTTTTTTCTGAGCAATGGGTCTCAATAGTAGGCATAAAATACTCAGTAAACCATATTATAAACAAATACACTGTCGTTCAGACTTTGTTGTTTAATTTATAGACCACAGGAAGAGTAGATTTAGCACAATTCTTAAGGGCTCTATGCTTTTCAGAATGGTAAACAAGCATTCATTTCAACTGAAAGTCACCAGCTGCATTAGCTCCTAAAAAGAGAGTCAGCCTGCTCTTTGAAGTTGTGAAGCCAGGCATTGATTTCTCTTCTGCTTTGAAAGTCCAAGGTGGCATGTTTTTTTTCAATAGAAGGCTGTTTCATCTACATTGAACATCTACTGTTTCATGTAGACACCTTCATTAATGACCTCGACTAGATCTTCTGGGTCACTTGCTTCTACATCAGCACTTGCTGCTTTGCCTTGCACTTTTTATGTTATGGGGATGGCTTCTTTCCTTAAACCTCATGAACCAACAAGTGTTAACCAAATGTTTTTCTCCTGCAAGTCCCCACCTATCTCAGCTTTCATAAAATTCAAGAGAGTTAGGTCCTTCTTCTATATTAGGCTTACAAGAATGTTGTTGCTGATTTGGTCTTTTATCCAAACCACTAAACTTTCTCCATATTAGCAATAAGGGTGTTTTGCTTTCTTATCATTTGTGTGTTCACTGGAGTAGTACTTTTAATTTCCTTCAAGGACTTTAACTTTGCATTAAAAATTTGACTGTTTGGTGCAAGAGGCCCGGCTTTTGGTCACTCAGCTCTCGACATGCCTTCCTCACTAAGCTTAATCATTTCTAGCTTTAGATTTAACATGAGAGATATAAGACTCTTTCTTTCATTTGGATGCTTAGAAGTCACTGTAGGACTATTAACTGGTCTATTTCAATATTGCTGTGTCTCAGAGAATAGGCAGGCCAGGAGAGAGATGCAGAGAGAGAGAGACAGGGAGACAGAGAGAGGAACTGCTGGTTGGTGGAGCAGTCAGAACACTTACATAACACTTGTCAATTAAGTTTGCCATCTTATGAGTGCAGCCCATGGTGCTCCAAAACAATTACAATAATAACATCAAAAAACACTGATCACAGATTATCATAACAAATATAAAAATAATGAAAATGTTTGAAATATTTTGAGAATTACCAAAATGTAATAGAGATATGAAGTGAGCATATGCTATTGGAAAAATGGTGCCACTAAACTTGCTCAACACAAGTTGCCCCAAATCTTCAATTTGTAAAAAATACATCAGTGAAGCACAGTAAACTTAGGTATGCCTGTATTATATGTACATATTATCTACTGGACATTATATACTTGCATTAATGTGCACAAGAAGTATTTGCATTCCCATCAGTTTTCTACAACAAACTAAGTTGTTTTATCACTCAGGAATGTAAAATAGCCTTGTCAAAACAACAAAAGATACACATTCTTTTTTTTAACTTTGATTTTAGACTGGGGAGTACATGTGAAGGTTTGTCACATAGGTAAACACAGGTCACAGGGGTTAATTGTACATCTTATTTCATCACCCAGATATTAAACCCAGTACCAAATATTTATCTTTTCTGCTCCTGTCCCTCCTCCCACCTTCCACCCAGGGCCAGAACCCAGTGTGTCGTTTCCTTCTTTGTGTTCATAAGTTCTTATCGTTTAGGTCCCACTTGTAAGTGAGTACATGAGTGAATACATGAGGTTTTCTGTTCCTGCATTAGTTTGCTAAGGATAAGAGCCTCCAGCTCCATCCATGTTTCTGCAAAAGACATGATCTCATTCTTTTTATAGCTGCATAGTATTCCATGGTATGTATGTATCACATTTTCTTTATGCAATCTCTAATTGATGGGTATTTAGGTTGATTCCACGTCTTTGCTATTGTGAATAGTGCTTCAGTGAACATTTGCATTCATGTGTCTTTATGGTAGAATGATTTATATTCCTCTGGGTATATACCCAGTAATAGGATTGCTGGGTTGAAGGGTAATTCTGCTTTTAGCTCTTTGAAGAATCTCCATACTGCCTTTCACAATGGTTGAACTAATTTACACTCCTAACTGTGTATATGGGTTCCTTTTTCTCCACAGCCTCGCCAGCATCTGCTATTTTTTGACTTTTTACTAATAGCCATTCTGACTAGTGTGAGATGGTACCTCATTGTGATTTTGAGTTATATTTTTCTAATGATGAGTGACATTGAGCTTTTTTGTTCATATTATTGTTGGTCACACATATGTTGTCTTTTGAGAAGTGTCTGTTTATGTCCTTTGCCCACTTTTTAATGGGATTTTTTTTTTCTTGTAAATTTGTGTATGTTCCTTATTGATGCTGGATATTAGACCTCTGTCAGATGCATAGTTTGCAAAAATTTCCTCCCATTATCTAGGTTGTCTGTTTCCTCTGTTGATAGTTTATTTTGCTGTGCAGAAATTCTTAAGTGTAATTAGATTCCACTTGTCAATTTTTGCTTTTGTCGCAATTGCCTTTGGTGTCTTCATCACAGAGCCTTTGCCTGTTCCTATATCCAAATATTGTATTCCTTAGGTTGTCTTTCAGGATTTTTATAGTTTTGAGTTTTATATTTAAGTCTTTAATCCATTTTGAGTTAGTTTTTATGTATGGTGTAAGGAAAGGATCCAGCTTCAATCTTTGGCATATGTCTGGCCAGTTATCCCAGCATTATTTATTGAATAGAGAGTCTTTTCCTCATTGCTTGCTGTTGTCACCTTTGTTGAAGATCAGATAGTCTCAGATGTGCGACCTTATTTCTGGGCTCTCTATTCTGTTCTATTGGTCTATGTGCCTGTTTTTGTACAAGTACCATGCTGTTTTGGTTACTTTATCACTGTAGTATAGTTTGAAGTTAGGTAACGTTATGCTTCCAGCTTTGTTCTTTTTGCTTAGGATTGCCTTGGCTATTTGGGCTCATTTATTTTTTTATTTTTATTTTTATTTATTTTTTTGTCCCATATGAATTTTAAAATAGTTTTTTCTAGTTCTGTGAATAATATCATTAATAGTTTGATAGGCATATCATTGAGTCTGTAAGTTGCCTTGGGCAGTATAGCCATTTTAATGATATTGATTCTTCCTATCCATGAGCATGGGATGTTTTTCTATTTGTTTGTGTCTTCTCTGATTTCTTTGAGCAGTGTTTGGTAATTCTCATTGTAGAGATCTTTCACTTCTCTGGTTAGCTGTATTCCCTGGTATTTTATTCTTTTTGTGGCAATTGTGAATGGAATTGCCTTTCTGATTTGGCTCTTTGTTTTGCTGTTGTGGTGTATAGGAATGCTAGTAATTTTTGTACATTGATTTTGTGTCTTGCAATTTTGCTGAAGTTGTTTATCAGCTGAAGGAACTTTTGGGCCAAGATTATGGTGTTTTCTCTTTATAGAATTATGTCATCTGTAAACAGAGATAGTTTGAGTTCCTCTGTTCCTATTTGGATG